GTGATGTGTGTCTGTGCACATATTATCTTTAACTCTGGTTTCTAATGAGACAAACTGCTACACACTACACTAGTTTTACCTACCCTAGGAAAAACTGTCAACTTGGCAATTAATTCCAGCTGCCAGCTCATGGATGTTAGTTTTTTGAACAAAAAGCCCCATGTAATTCCAGTCTCCCAACTTCAGCATATGTATAACACATGGAGCAAGCAAGAGACTTCTATTAGATGTAATATAAATCGGTAAGTAGCATATTGGGAACATACAACTGAAAATATCCAAAAATTAAAATGAAAGCAATTATTAAAAAAAATAAAACAACCTCCCCCCCCCACTCACACACAAAAAAAGAAGAAAAGGGAGTTACGACTTTTTTATTGCAGGCTGGAAAAAAAGAAAGTTAGAAGAGAAGTACATCACTAAGTCATGCACTAATAGAAATTTTAACTAACCATCCCAAAACCAGGATCCTTCCTATGAAGGAGAATGAGTTGGTTTTTATAAGAGTTTCCAAGTTGATTGTGTAAAAGATTAATCTCTACATTGCTGCATCTTTGTAAAAGATGACAGGTAAAACCACCTAAGACAGGAAGCCAACTTTCTTCCGGTTGTTTAATTAACAATTCTTAAAACAAAATAAAATGCATTGCTGCTTTCTTTACATCTGTATACTCGTCTTCCTTTGTACTGTGCTGCTTACATTCTGTTTCTATAAACAAATAATATAGAAATATATTTTCATGCAGACACACTACTTAATGAAATTAATTAAGATCAACATTTCATGTGCCTATAAACTTGGTATAGACTATATATGGTTGGAGGGTAGAAAAAGAGACTGTGTGAGGGAAAAAGTGCTTCATGCAGAAAGCATGAAGAGGAACTATCAAAAATGAGTGTGGGCTTCTGGTACACCAAATGGGATTTCACCTACATTCTCACCACTCAGGTAAAACACATGAAAAAATGTGTAATAAGACAACTCTATAACATGACGCCCCCATCATTTTCTTTTTTCCAGAATTAAGAGTATAAATACACTAAGAAGCTTAAAGACAATTTATCAGCTCTCATCATAAACTGCAACTCTGCTACTGACATACAGTATATTAGAACACTGTCAGAATGTGCCAAGTATTGATTTACTGCTGTATATCACTAATGCTTGCAATTGTAGCAAATGGAGCACCTCTCAACAACACCAACAGCACTCTATTACAAATAATAATAGATGATGTGCTAAAGCTGAAAGCAATCACTGTAAGTCAACTTTTCTTTTGTTTTTTTAAATTACAGCAATTTTTTATTTTACCTTTTTAAGAAACGAATTAACTCCTCTTTTACTTCTCACAGACAATCAATGATGATTTTTACCTACCAAAGGACACAAAGGTGAGTATAAACTTTATGTTATGTTTTAAAGAGACTGTTTGAAGTAAAAGATTGTTACTTTAAAGAATCTGATTTCCTTGAAAAAGATAACTTTGAACAATATCTGGAGTCCAATTTCAGTGTAGGAATTTCTAGTTGTGCTTTTTGCTTTATGTTCTCAAACAGCAGGATATGCTAACATACAATACTATCACCTTATTCTGTGCGACTGTTTAACCAGGGAAGATATGCAACAGTCCTAATTGCTCTATTTACTAAATTTTAGTTCATTCTGACAAAACAGTAATTTTTTTTATTAAAGTTATTAATATGATATTAACTCTTACATCAGCAACACAAACAGGAAAGATAGTTTTCACAGAGAGGTGAGTTTTGAAAGAGTCAGTTTCATTTCTGAAAATATAGGTAGAAGCTAGCAATAAGCTATGGTCTAGTCTTACCTCATTGCAGACACCAGCTGCTTCTGTGCAAGTAGTTACAGACTCATAACCTGTGGCAAGTTAAATCCATCATAAATTCTACATTTGCTCTTTTCATAAGTGACACTTAACAGGTTATGCTTGATCTCTCTAGCTATATTATTCACTTCAATCTTATAACCTGTTAGGCTAATACAAAATTGTTTTATTACATATCTCCACTGGCACAAGAATTCTTGGCCTTGATCCCTCATTCAGTCACTGAGTTTGCTTCTTTCAGCACAATAAAGGGTACAGGGCACAAAATTGTATTTTGACTTGACAGTTAACCTTTATGCATGCTAGCTTTCTGACGTGTAATTAGGGGTAACAACACCTATTTAACTATTTAAGGCAACCAGGTACTGCTGGAAGATCTAAGACACTTACAAAGAACATGTCAGTAATTAGGGAGAAAAGTTCCCTGTAGTTAGGTTTCTCTCAGTCTTTACTCAGGCAGGACACCCACTGAAGTTATTGGGAATTTTGCTCGAGTAAAGATTTTAAAAAGGAGTAATTGTCAAAAGATCAAAGTATAAGAATTCTGGATTTGAAACTGTAAATTTACTGGGGCAAATCATAATCTATGGTATTGGAGTGCCTGGCATAGCTTGCAAGGGCTGTGTGTGAAGATGACAATCTGTTTCCCCTACTCCTCCTTTACCCAAATCAGAGGCCAAGTCAATCTCAGACATGAAGTAAATCAACCAAGCTAATTTATATAAGTTGGCCAATGGTTCTAGAGGGGCACTCCAGAAGCAAGGAATCTTCATGGGGTCTTTGGATGAGGCAAAATTTCTTATGCCTTAAGTGGGAATAAAGTTTAGCACAGAATTTTCTGTAAGAGCCCTATGTCATTAGAAAGATCCTTCTACACTCAGGGAATCCACCAGTGGTAGACAAACTTGTAAAGCCACAAAAATACACTGGGGCCATATTTAATACACTATGGCCCAACTTTAAAGGGCACAAATAAATAATGCACTGTATAAAGCCTAGACTCATTTGTCATACTAAGTTAAAACAATAGGTAATTTTTATAACTCGAGATATACTTTATATTGAAAAAAAATGATTTTCCTGCTTATTTTAGAACTGCAGCCTGATGTGTTACTTGAAAGAAATGCATTCTTTAAGGACAGGGATTAATATGGTCATGGAAACACAGAAGGAAGAGTTCACTGACACTATTTCCAGAATTGACAGGAATCTTAATAATCTGCTGGTAAGCATTTATTTTTACTCAATTTAGGAGGGGAAAAAACAAAAAAAACAAAAAAAAAACCCAACCCAACCATAGACTTGATATCACTGCTAGAAATATTAAAATGTTGATGAACAAGAGCATTACTCACTCTTTTCAAACTTTCATATCAGACCCTAAACCTGATCTAATCTATCCAGATACCACAACCACAATAGCTGCACCCTTGTTGTCAGTTTCTGTCAACAGATTATCAAGAATATTATTCTATAAAGAGAGCTCAAGGGAAAAGTCTCTTTAACAACCTTTTTTCTTTTCCTTTCAAAAATATATAGCTTGTGATGCAGATGTCTCATTTTGTAAAAACATATTTAAAAACAACAGGAGTTTGTTTTCTAAAATTCCTAACTTCTTGCTTTGTGAAGACTGGATAATCTGCTCTTTTACAAAGCAAAACATGGAGGTTGCAGTTTCACATCAGATTGTATGGTGTGGTAAAAGGGTGGCCTGACTGAAAACTAATTTAAGATAATTTTTTTAAAAACTTTGAATCCAATACATTTTATTCTTTAAAAGTTCTCAGTAGTTCTCAGTAGCTCAGTAGTTCTCTCAAGAATGTGCAACATTGTAACAACTAAAAAATAATTAGTTTTAAAGTATATTGCAATACACACATTATGGCAAATAGGTTTGTGTAATTTCTCCTTGCTGCACAATATAAATTAAGGTTCAAATTATAGGTTTCTAACACAGTCACCCAAGATTAAATTCAATATGCATGATCTTGTAAAAGCTTGCATTTAGATTACCTGCAATAAACAAGGGTTTACAGAACTGGGTCCTAAGAATCTGTCTCTGCAGTATTCAACACCTGAGCTGCAGCATGCAGCAAGACTTGGTTAAATCCCACTATAAATAAAAAGTGGTAACACAAGTCATACTGGAAAACATTATAAAAAAAGTGGTTATGTGTTACTTTAGAACAATTGCTCAGGCCTGCATTAGCAAATGAAGTGGCTGCCTCAGCTGCAATATTGACCAAGTCTATAGTATCCTTAGACCTTAAAATTATAAAATTGAAATTGTGGTACAATTTACTGCTGCAAAGTATTCCATAAGCTGCCTATGGATACTTAATCTTAACAGAATGGGAAAACCTGAAATACTGTAGATTTTGTTTTAGAAGAAAACTCAACTTGTACAGGTTCATACACTGCTGATTAATTTTGTTAGTAATGGAAATATCACTTATCAATAACAAACTACATAAATATTTTCATTGCAGAAGAAAGGCATGTCTACCGAGACTGAATGCAAGCCTTGTGAAAGCCATAACAGAGGCAACTCTAAAGACCTCCTAGATGCGCTAATCACCTTTCTGCAATCAATGTATGCAAAATCACCTTAACTGCTACATTATTTATTGAAATATTAAATTATTATAATAATTTATATTTTGCCTTATGTTTAGGAATTTGCTACCCATTGGTCCCAATATCCCTTTGAATATAAAATGCATGTGTCTTTAAAATGAACATGCCTTCTAAAAATAAGCTGCATCTTAAGTTTGAGATACAGATAGCAAAACATTCTTATATGAAACATACAGACCCCATCCTTGGAAATGTGTTTATGTGAAGTTTTATTTACCCCCCCACCAAAGTAGTCAAAAATGTAGTTGCATTTTAAATTCCAAGGTGTCTTATATTCAAAGGGATATGGACTATTTTCTTACTACCAGTGTTGAGATTCTGCACTAAGATCATATATGATCCTATTTGTAAGCCCTACGGGCTCCAAAACTATTTTTAACCTAATTTGTTCACATTTCATTGTTATCTCTCAAAACATGTTGTATGATATTTGTCAATCAGGATATATTATATTTAATATAGATGCTGGAAAATTATTTAATAAATGTCAGTACTAAGTTAAATAATGTTTACCGTTTGGCTTCTTTGTGAAATGAAGATGATCAGGTTCACAAGTTTCAGTTGGTGACACACTGAATCGCACACAGAACTCTAGATAAAAATAGCATTTTCCTGATACAAGAGTTCCTGTAACAGATTCAATACAAGATAACTGCAGATAAGACACGACTTTACACTACTATGCATTTTTTAAAACAGGCATTTCAAATTTTATCAAGCAATATACAGTACCAGACTATGTTTGCAAAATTTGGATTATGCAACATACAAAGGATGAATGACAATAAAAATGCAGAGAAGTCTATAAAACTGTTTCCTGTGAATGGTCCTAACTATACTATTCAGACTCTCAGCTTCATCTTTGCAGCTTTTATGTAGGTACTTACTTCCAGCAAAGGAAGCATACTGCTGATAGACAAATAATACAAATGTATATGCATTGAACAAATACACTTCCTTTTTGTTCAAAGAACTTTTTTGAAGAACTTCTGAAATGCACTTACTCTCAATAAAGATTGTTTATCATGCAATATTTTAAAATCCATTATGTATAACTAAAACTGAGCATCCTTTTTAATCCCATAAACACCACCACCAAACAACAGAACAAATTGTAATTGATGAAAGCAAGCTGTACGAGTACTGTTATCAGTTCATCATTTCATCTTTGATGTGTTTTACTAAATGGGAGAGAATTGTAGTATTCAGTATACTTTAAGTGTACTTGAAACAGACTAACAGAGTGGAAAAAACAGCATTTTTCCTGTGGTAAATAGAAAAAATAAGGTATTCTGACAGTTGCCCATCAAAACTACAAAAATTACTTACAGTACGATATTTGTTTGCTCTAGTCATCTTCTTGTTCCTTACTGTTTGAGGGAGGCTGTGCAGTCTCCACCCACCAGGATTCAAGAGGCCAAAGGATAGTCAATCATCCTAATCACGTGCAAACTAACTCCTCCCTCTTATCAATCAGATGCTTCCCAAACAACTTGTTTACTAATATAGTTAAGAGCTGAACTCAGGGGGAGGAGAGAACAACAATGACAGAGACAATTACTATGAAGTTTTTTTCTTTGTTGGCCTTTACTCTTCACTGTGAAATATTTCTATTCACATAGAGTTCTTTCCCCCTACCAAAATAGCTACATGCATGAAAAATAACCTAACAGCTTCCTCTTCAAATCTGAACACACAAAACAAACAAGAAAGGAATTATAGGCGCAGATGATATATATATTAATACAACAATCGCAAATCTTAAAAAAGAAGCTGGGCTAAGGAAATACATCCAGAGGAAATTATTCCAAATTGATTGGACTGTCATGCTCAAAGGAGCATTTTCATCTGTGGCTTGATGTCCAACTGGGAGTGGGAATCAGGTGCAGGTTCTCAGAGGCCTGTCCTAGATCTGGTACTGTTTAATATCCTTATTCATAACTTGTAGGATGCAACTGAGTGTACACTGAGGAAGTAGAGAGAGGATACCAAAGTTGATGATGCAGAGTATAATTAGAATGAAGAGTATAATTAGAATTCAATATGACCTTGGTAAAATGGAGAAGTAGTCTGCAATCTGGCAAGGACATGTACAAAATCTCATACTTGGGGTGGAACAATTATGTGCACAAATACACACGGGGGAACATCTGGCTAGGCTGCAGTTCTACAGAAATGGACCTGGGGGTGGTTGTGGACCATGCTGAATGAGTCAACAGTGTGCTATTGATGAAAAAAAGCCAATAGTATACTGATATATATTAAAAGGAGTGTTGCATGTGGGTTTTGATAAGTGATTCTTCCACTTTGGAAATTTCAATTGGATATTGGGAAGAACTTTAAACAATGAGGGTGTTTGAACATTGAATATATTGACCTAGAGAGGGTATAAGATCTCTTATCATTGGAAGTTTTTCAGTGCAGATGAGAGAAAAACTTGTTTGGCATGGCTTAGACAGGGATGATCTTGCTGTGAACAGGAGTTTGGATTAGATTACCTCCCACAGTGCCCTCTCACCATATTTATATAGGATTCAAATAAGCATGTGTTACCGGTGTAAGGTTATCAAGTACTGAAGTTCCTAAATGGGATAAAAGCCAAACGGACAGCTTACCATGAAAACAGCCTAAAATCATGCTGAGAGCTTTTATGCAATTCACTACTGAATCCCAAAGCCGTTACAAGATGCTACTGGTATCAAGTGCTCCTGCAATTGAATAGCAGCTGCCTCCTCAATCACTCCCCCTAAAATGAAAGCTTGGAGCCTAACTGGTAAGTGATAAACATTCCAGCGTTAAGAGAATTTGTTGGCTTGTTGTGTCTTGGAAGCCTATAATGTGTTACAGTACTAACCTCTGGGACAGATTACATGAGGCCAGCAGAAAAAGTCACTTTGGAGGTAACCTGGGTTTTCCTAGGACCTGATTACAGATCAAAGTTCAGCAGGCCCAGTAATGCATTAAACCATTGCAAAGGGGTATGGCTACCCTTACACATGCTCTCTTGTGCTGGGACGTTTACAAGAGAAGTTCATCTATCAGAAATTGTTCCCTTTAGTAGTTTGCCGAAGTCCAATCTTGCTGACCTTTAGGCTACAGACTGACTTTACACAAACTGGTTTAAGTGATCAGAAACTGGTTTAACTTGTAACAAAATAGACGCTCAGTGCACATAAGCCAGTTTGAAAATGGCTGTAACCAATCTGAGATAAACCTGGTTGAATCCTTAGACGCAGGGGTAGCAGTGGACGAGTCTTTCTGGACTTTAGGAACGCCTTCAACACAGTCTCTC